AATTATTAAAACTGATCTCTAATATAAATGTTACCAATACTGTATCAGTTGATTTGGTATTTTAATATATTTTCTTCAAATAATTGGCAAGTTATTTATAAATAGTAATTTGAATTCTAAGCATTGGTTAAATTAAACTTGGAGCAACTTGTATAATAAATGTTAGTAGTGAGCTTTAAATGCTGGAATAATCCCCTGGTCCAGAGTTTGTCCAAGAGATGTTGAATAGCCAAGACTTGACAATGACATTCAACAGTTCAACATTGTAATTTTGGGTTGGTGCATTGTTGATGAAAAACAGTAAATTTGTTTTTGTCCAAACAAGACTTCAAACAGCTCTGTCATCAAGCTTTCATATTACTATTCTAGGAAACAGGAAGATATTCTTTCGTAGAATATGAAAATAATGAGGATTTTCTGCCTTTCCAGTTGCAAGGGATTTCATTTTTTTCCTTTCGTTTAGCTGGTGCAGATTAACACTAATTTACTCTATGGGTTGTTTGCTGCCCTTGCATTCATTGTCATTGTTCATAAGCAAACAAGTAGGCCATGCTCTAAAAAAAAACCAGGTCTTTCTGTATTGTAAATATTGCAGGGTATGAGTTCAGCTGTAAGCTATGGTATTCAATGCTGAAAATCAACCACTGACTTTTTGTCCATATTTTTTGATTATCCTATTTTTACTTGTCAAATGATGATTTTCCATCTATTGGGCCAATCATTGAAAACCTTAAACCATTAATCATTAAAATCTGTACCAACAACTTGCAAAGAATGTTGATTTTTCTTGGATAAGTTTTCTGCTCAGTGGTAGGCTTTTAAGTTATATGCTGCATACTGCTCAAAAACAATTTGATAAAAGACAGAAGAATCAACATTATGTGGAATCTGTATATTGTGATATAAGAGAGCTGTTTTATTCACACCAGTTTCTTAGACTATCGTCTTGCCTCTTTATATTTCAAACTGTTGATCTTTCTTATAATGTCTGACACTTTTTCCATTGTCCAAATCTCACAAAAGCTGGAATTTGGTTTTAACAGTCAAATTGTTTCTTTTGTTTTATTTCATTTGCCATCTTGCATCTTATCAAAGGAAAAAAATTTTTGACTGGAACTTAGTATTAAAAATTATTTAAAAAAAAAACAGGCATTTTATACTTAGTGTTATGATTTGAAACTTAAATTTATTAAAGCTTGTTCCCAAGTAATTACTGTAATGAACTTATGACTAATACTGCTTCTGACAATATCCTCATACTGTATTTTTGTTCAATGTTTCCAAGTAGTTAATGATCCAAGTAGCTAATGTTGTAACTGAATTTAGTCCAAATTAATTCAATCCCAACACTGTAAATATGTAATAAATTGGATATTGTTTGTTCAAAGATGATCATCTTTGAATGAATGTCTAATTCTTTTTATTGTTACTACTTGTTTAAATCTGTTCTATTTAACCTGAATTTCAGTGAAACTTGCCAATATTTGTTTTATAAACACTTCTATTGAATACAGATACTTTTTTTATATTATCTTTATCATCATCATCATCATCATCATCATTAAAATACTGCAAGGAAACTTTAAAATTATTTTGTAATAATTTAAAACCAAAACCATATATAAACTATATACATAGTACGATCCAAAAGTTTGGGGACTTGGCTTAAAATTCTTTACCTTAAAAAGTTTATATTGTGGATGCACAACCACCTTCAAAGTAATCACCTTGGGCAATGATACACTTTTGCCAGTGCTTGTATAACTTCTGGAAGCACTGCTGGAAGCCATTTTTTGAAATCTCTTGTAAGGCCTCCTGCAATGCTGCTCTCACCTCATCTGATGACACAAAATGGCATCCCTGCAAATGCTTTTTCATTGATGGAAACAAATAAAAATCACATGGGGCTTAGTCCAGTGAATAGGCGGGGTGTGGAAGCACATTAATTTGAGTTTTGGCGAGAAACTGTGTGACCATTTGGGACTGATGTGCAGGTGCATTGTCATGCAGAAGGTACCAGTCTCCACTTTGCCAGATCTGTGGCCGTTTATGACGAATGGATTTCCTCAAATGACATAAAATGTCTAGATAATGCTCCTTGTTTACTATTCTGCCTTCGGGAATAAATTCTGAATGAACAATTCCTTGAGAATCAAAAAACACCTCCATCATGACTTTCCCTTTGCTCGGTGCATGTTAAGATCTTCTGTTAAAATACGCTGGCAACTAGTCTTTGATAAGTGAGTAGTCGCAGTGATTTTTTTCAAGGGTTTGGCGATGATCTTTGCGAACACATTGAGAGACCAATTCAACATTTTTCTTGTTCCATGAAGTCAAAGGTCAGCCAAAATGTTCATCGTCTGCGATGGATTCTCGGCTCTCTTTAAAACACCGATGCCATTTGTACACTTTTGATTTCGCCATGGTAAAATCACCGTACACCTTTCTTAGCAATTTTTAAGTCTCCATAGGTGTTTTACCTAAACGCTGACAAAATTTAATGTTGCAGCACTGTTCTTGAAACTCCATTTTTATTACATCGCAAAACAAAGATAACTATCTCTGAAAGAAAACAACAGCACTCGTGGTTTAATCATGTGACATGGGTGAAACCAACCTGAACACATAGGAATGGTTTGATAGAATCAGTTTCATACACTGTAAAATTCAAATACATGCTTTTGTTGTCATATATTACTGCAGTCCCCAAACTTTTGGATCGTACCACATATATATTGTGTATATAATTTTTTTAATGACAATCTGAGAAATGTGTGTGAAATCATGCAAAATTGAAGATTGAACTAGACATAACCTAGTCAGAGTTTACAAATTTATGTAATCATTATAGATTGGATTTTAAATAATAAAATAAATCAACTGTAGTATTAGGTTGTTATATAAATATAGCAAACTATTATGTTTGTAATTTCACATATTACTACCTCATTTGATTAATTAATATACTTGTATTATAGCTATATATATTATTTTAAACTGCTTATTTCTCTGTGATTATTATTTGTGGGCAGTTATTTCCTTTGTACATAATTGTTTGATCCCCATTATTAATAAGTATTTATAAATGTTTCATTTTTAAAGCAAGTTATACCTGAGATGGTAACTGGTTTCTTTCATTGTAATGAATGTTATTTTCTGTATATTGGTAATAAGAAAATTAAAAAGTATGTCTATTGTATATTGTACGTTTTACATACTGGATTTCATTTTCTATTAAAGTTTGTTTTAAATTAAACAAATAAACATAGTACCTGCCTACAGCAGTTTGATACTTATTAATTTTATATTGTTTCTGTAATTTTTCAGAAATCCCCAACTGTAGTAGATGCAGCTAATATTTGAAGGAAGTTATTGTTTGAATGAAATCAGTATGAATTTTTTTCTAATAACTGGATTTTCTAATTTTCAATTCTTTAAGTAATGAGATATATTGTATGTCTAATAGTCAAATTTATCACTTGTATGACTTGGTAATCAGAATCCAAAATTATCAGAAAAAAAATTTATTTTTTTGTTGAATTTAAAGGAATTCTATATTAATTTTTCTTAATTTAGTTTCTTTGGAAACCTACTATTGATTTTAAAATTTTAAACTATATTCGGTATGCTAATTGTGTGCTGGGCTTCTGTTTCTTTTAATTTAAAGAAAAAAAATGTAATACAAATGAGAGAGAGAGAAATTGTTAGAAACTTTTAGCAATTTTTGATTGTTCTTTTCTTATATGATCTCTAAATAGATTATTACAATTTTTTGTTGTTATATTTGTATTTTAGAATACAGTCGACCCCCCCCTATATTTACGGTCCCTATAATTACGATTCCTATAAAACTACGAAAAAATTGCTACCGGTATCCGTAAAAAATAGTAAAAGTTCCCTATAAACACCTCAAACGTCATCGGGAAGCCGAACTACTTTCCCGCGTCCGTAGCGCCACGCTACGGAGAGATTTCTATCGTCTGGACAGTATTATATAAATTATATATAAGTTAGGTACTGTACATATAATTATATATTAATTATATATAAATTAGGTACTGTATATATAATTATATATTAACTTATTGTAACTTTGTTATAATTAAATATATAATTTCCGCCGTCTAGCGTGGCGCCACGCTACGGAGATTTTTACGCTAACTATCGTCTGTCAGTATGTAAATTAGGTACCGTAAGTCTAATACAGTACTGTAATTTTATACATTTCTTGTGAAAGAAACATTTCTTATTCAACGGCGATTAAAATTATTTATATTAATGATGTCTCCGAAGTTCTACGAAGTTTTCACAGAAAAATAAGTTGTTAGAAATCGGCCGCTCTTTGCTGAGCTGTTCCGCGACGAAAACAATGTTGAGCAATGGCGATGTCGAATGGTGACACTCTGTAAGTAATCCTACAATTTTTTGTTTATAGCGTAGTTTATACGGATTATTCCCAAAAAATATATACGTATTTTGGAAATGTTGAGTCGGATTAGTCTAGAATCGATTAATTTTTTGGAAGAAAATCTTTCAAACAGCCGTAGTCCGTAAACTTGACACGTGTCGGGTTGTGATTGGAAGGATTCGTAAGAAATGGATTCCTAGAGAATGGAACGTATCTCTATCTTATAGGGGGGTCGTCTGTAAATAAATTTGACAAAGAAATAAGATTATAAATTTCTGAACAGAATAGTTTTCATTTTTTGTCAACCAATCTTCAGTTTTATTGAATTTTTCTTTATCAGTTTTAAATATGTAAAATATCATTAAAATCTTCTTTATTAACTGAAAAATGAATATATTTGATTTCAAATAACATTTTCTTAATAGCGTAAATATAATATTTTGTATCAATAATTAAAATATTTATTTTTGTGTTTTTAATTAATTATGAACATCTTCAGTTTCACTGATGACTCTGAATAAAATTTGTCCTTTAAATTAGATAAAAAGTTTTCAAAAATTTTATTAATTTAATTTTTTTTATTTTTTTTCAGTTTCATGAACTTCCCCTCACAGAAATTATAAGGTTTAACATAGAGTTGGCTCGTTATGAAAGACCTACACCTGTACAGAAGCATGCAATACCAATTATATTGAAAAAGCGTGATCTGATGGCTTGTGCACAAACTGGTAAAAACTTTTACATAAAAAGATTAAAACAAAATTGATTTTTTAAATACACTTTTATTATTATTTAATATGTTGTTTCTTACATAGGATCTGGAAAAACTGCTGCATTTTTGGTTCCTATTTTAAATCAGATATATGAGAATGGTCCTCCTAAAAATATTAATGTGGTAAATATTTTAAGTTGAGAATCATATATTTAATTCAACATTTCAAGTTTGTAAACTCTAGATTAAGAATTACCTTACACACACACACTTACTAAAGGAATTAATCATATGTTTATTAAAGAAATATTTTTAATTTCATTACAGGACTCTTCATAATATATAAAGAACAGAATCAAATATAAAAAAAAATCCTAAAATTTGAAATTACAGTCAATCTTTGTTTTATTACAACCATTCATTTTGAAAGGTTGGTTGATAGGCAGGATGATGGTTAATTGAAAATTGCCCAAAAAATGAAAGAAAGTAAAGTTTATAACAAGAAAGTGATTTGGCATTTTGTAATGCTATTTAGTACTTGATTTTAAGAAGGAAGAAAACCTTTCTAGAAAGTATGTGCACTTTTTATATTATATGCTATGATAGTCTCATTTAAAGCTTGCAAGTGCTGAATTCGCTGTTGAAAGCAAATTGTTAAAGGTATTATCAAATTTTGAGATTGCATGATTGAGTTTTTTATGTTGTAACAGCTTTTTTGGTTTCTCTATATAATTGTTTGCACTTTGTGTGTGTGTTTCTTCATCTCTTGTCATTTGCACAGTTTTGTCAGGTTTTAATTTTGAAAAAACTTTTTTGCATTCACTAAGTATCAACTCATCTGGATCCAGTTGCTGTGTGGAAATGATGTGTTTGAGAATTTTCAAGACATTACTCAATATCTGGGTATTTATGATAGTCTTGAAAAAATTGTTCTTCATTTTGTAATAGGTTGGTGAATAGCTAGCAGTTCTTGATAATTTCCTGTGTCACTGTCCATATCAGTTTAATAAAACAAAGTGCAAATTTCAAGGCAAATTTTTTTGGAATTTCATCATTAAGACGTTTGATGATTTTTCATACTAGATGATGTTGATAAATTAACTTAAACTTTTTAATTATACCAGTGTCTAGTTGCTATAAAAAGCTGATTTAATTTATAGGAAAAGTATCTGCTTTGCTCAGATTTGTCTTTATGGCATAGAACATTGTCAATCAATAGTATTGCTCTGAATTTTTCTTCTTCCACATCCTGAAGTTTTATAGAAAATGGTGAAAATTATTGTGGTCATCTAATTGGTTTTTTAAATAATCCTTATAAAATGACAAAGTAATGGATAAAAATTTTTGAAGCATTATGGTTTTGTGCCTGATAACAGTTACACTCCTATTTTTCATTCTCATTGGCATTGTAACAAAAGACAGTTTTAACACAATCTTTAAACTTTTTGCAACATTTTATTGGTGCCTGAGCTACATTTTTGGCTGGTTACATTCTACAGAAGTAAAGAGGTTTTCTCTATGTAAAAGACAGCCAGTAATTGAGCATTGACAAAGCCTGCATTATTGCTCAATTATTTTTGATGATCTATTTTGCTTACTATCCATAATATCTAAATTCACTTTTATTATTTAAACACTTATATTTGCTACTGCATATATTTTATTACAATAAGCCATGTTATTTAAAACAATCTACCAACTGTTACTGTAGCTAAAATTTGTTCTTAGTCCTCTGATTAAATGTTTTAGCTTATTCTTTAATAACATCATCAGCTAAAATTTTATTTTTTTTATTCACTTCTGCAAACCACATCACATGCGTTTTTCTTTTCTTCATGTTTTTCTTTTCAGCTTTTTTGAATTTTTATTCTTGGCATCCACTATTTAGATTTTTGGCTTAAAATATCTCTACTGTAGTACATCTACCCACACAGATTTACTTCATAGCAATAAAATGTGTAGCAAAATGTTTTTTGTTACATTACTGTGGTTGTTACTAATTATGAAGATTTCTTGCACTTTGTTTAGGAAGAATAGCTCATATTTCTGTTTGCAGGAGTCTTCTTTAGTTTGATAGAAGGGAAGAATAAAGTTGAAGACTACATACACAATGAGAGCTTAATTAATTAATACAAAGTTTTGCAAGCTTTTCTGCAAAATTATGAGTCTCTGCTTATTTTTTCCTCAACCATTATTCATGGTGGTTTTATAGAGAAATTTCTTATGGAAAAAGACCATTTGTATTCTAAAAATCGTTGATGGATGGTAGTATCCATGATGATTATCAAAACAGTTCACTATGGTCTTGAATATTTTCTAGATTTTATGGTGATAAATGAGACAAAAGGTTATAAGAGGGCAGTAAAATAGGGGTTGACTGTATAATTAATAATTTGTTAAATTATAACAAATGTAAATGTCAGGTGAATTTAAAAGGGAGAGAACGAGGGTCGTTCAATAAGTCCTTAGAAAAAGATAGAAAAACAAATTATTTTAGGTAGATTTTTTAAATTTTTCAACATAAACTCCTTTAAGCTCTATATACTTTTCTAAGCATTTCTGCAACTTTTTAAAGCCATCTAAAAAGTAAGATTTCGGAAGGTCCTCAAAATAGGCATCTGTTTGGGTGATGACCATTTTGTTCAACGTGAATTGTTGTCTGCCGAGCCATTTTTTAAAGTTTGGAAATAAAAAAACAGTCACTGGGGGCCGAATACAGTGGATGTTGTAATAATTCAAACTTTAATTCCATGATTTTGGCCTTCAAAACTGCACAGGTGTGCACCCATGCATTGTCTTGATGGAAGAGGATCTTTTTCTTTTTCAAATGAGGACGTTTTTCCTTGATTTCTTTGCTCAACTGGTGCAATAACAACACATAATACTCTCCAGTTATTGTTTTTCCTTTTTCCAAGTAATCGGTGTAGATTATTCCGCATGTATCCCAAAAAACTGTGGCCATCACCTTCCTGGCCGATTTCACTGTCTTCGCCTTCTTTGGAGCCCTTTTGCCTTCACTGTTTTGACTGTTCTTTTGTCTCTGGAGTATAGTAGTGTATCCATGTTTTGTCCACAGTTATGTATCGATGCAGAAACTCATCAGGATTGTGACAAAAAAGTGCCAAAATAGCCTCAGAGTTGACCACACGATTATGTTTGTTCTCCACTGAGAGCAAACGCAGCACCCATCTTGCCAAGATTTTTTTCACACCCAATTTTTTGTGCAAAATTGAAAACACTGGTACCTTGCGATATGCCTGTGGCTTCAACTATTTCACACACATTGATTCATCAATCACTCAAAACCATATTGTGGATTTTGTCAATCATTTCGGGAGTGGTCACTTTCACTGGACGTCCCGAATGACGTTCATCTTTTGTGGATGTACGGCCACGTTTGAACTTATTTACTCAATTGTAAACAGTTGAAAACACAGGAGCAGATGTGCCATGAACTTCATCCAACTCATCTTTGATCTCTTTCGGTGTTAAGCCTTTTAAATATAAGTGTTTAATCACTGCTCGAAACTCACTTTTTTCCATTTTTCTAAATAAACAAAAGTTTCTTGCTTCAGTCGACAATAAAAATTAAACCATATGATGGATATGACTGAGACTTTTCACAACTGTCTAGTGAGTCATGATGCTTACTAAAAACATGTCATTTTTGAAGCTACGAGCACCAGCTATTGGATTTTCTAAAGACTTATTGAACGACCCATGTATCATGGAATTTTACAGGCATTTTCTAAATTTTTTTATAATATATATTTTGATAAAATTAGCACTATTAAGTTTTAAATTAGAATTTAAAAAAAAATTAATTTGGAACTTATTACTTAGAATTAAATATTATTTTTCAGTGAAAAGAGAAATCTTGTGTCTAATGTTATTCTGGATTTGATTTACCTGGCATGCGATGTGTTTGTCATAAATCAAATCTGGAAAAGAATGTTTCACTGGAAACAAGTTCTAAATTTTTTTTATCTTAAAATTTTAATAAAATCAAAAGTAATCTTTAATAAAATGTTTTTACAGAAAATTAATTTAAAACTTTTAAAAGTTTTAAATTAATTTTCTGTAAAAAGATTTTTTAAGAGAAACATCAATAAAACCAAAACCCCAGCAAACATTTGTGAAAAATTTAATGAAAAATGTAAAAAAAAATTCAATAATCCTAAGCTATCATCATCAGGTTAAAATCAAGTTTGAAAATAGAACAAAAATTCAAATGTGAATTTGTAAATACTGTAAGGTCTCTTTTTATGCGGATTATTTTTATGAGATTTTGAAGTTGTGCGGTTTGTATTTCATCCAAAATTTTCTTGGACAAGCATACATATAGGCTTGTTTAGGAAGCCCGCGTATAGACAGTCTCCAAAAATCGTGGAACGCTCAAAGCTCACTCCATTTGTTCCACTGACATATAACGTTTATGGATGTAAAGGACAGCTAGATCTACCTTAATCGCTTTAGTTCCTAGCAATTTTTGATATAAATGTAATTAAACATAAAAAATACTTAAAACTGAAAAAAATGAAAGAAATGCGTTAGTTTTGAAGAAAAAGCTTCAAAGTTTAACTTCCTTTGTCTCGCCCTGCTGTGAAATTTAACAACGATGAGTCATTGTTTATACATCTGGATGACCTTGAACACAGCTGGAGTTGGATTTCTTGGGGCATTCTCATAAACGTCGCGGGAGGACAAGGGTTTAAAGTAGGGTGAAGCTGGCCGTATATTTTTAAAGATTTTTAAAAAATTTGGAGACTTAAAAAACATTCCAAAAATTCCAAAAAAAATGTAAAACTATATTACTTTTCAATAAAATTAACTGAATTAAGTTTGAATACAAGTTTATTTTAAGCTTTTATATGAATTTCTTTCAGATATTCGAAGTAATTTATTAAGCAGCCTATTTCTTTTAATTTCTGCAAACTTTTTTATGCGGTTTTGAGTTAATTTTAACTCGTTGTTTTGGTCTTATGCGATTTTAGAAAATTACGGAACGTATCCCTACTTTTTCAAGGCAAGTAAAGTCTTTTTTTATGCAAATTTTTTATATGCGCTTTTCTGTAGAACGTATCCACCGCATAAAACGAGACCTTACAGTATTGTGAAGGCATCATCTGATTGGTCATTGGTGTAATGATTGTGGTGTTCCCACTGGTTTCTGTGGGAAAATTATAAAAGGACCTCAAATAAGGATGCATGCATGCATGGAGAGTGGTGTTATCCTTGAAAATGATGGCAACATTTTTCTTACAACAACTGTATATCTTCAATAATTCTAGGTGTTTGAGTGCTGGTGACTTCCAGCCAGACAGCTCAACAATCACAGCTGTATTTACAACCAAGGATTGAGAGTTAGAGTTTGAAGTTAACTAATTACCATTCACTATACTTTTTTATACATGAATGCTTATTGGTTAATTTCTAACTCCAACTCTTGATCTTTGGTTGTGAACATGGTCATCAAACATCTAGAGTTTGAATTTTGTTCTACTTTTGAACACTGCTGTTAACCAGATGATAAAGCTTAAAGTTGTCAAAAATATTTGATTTTTCATTAAATTTCTCATACATTTTTGTTAGAGTTTTGAATTTTACGAGGTCTGTTCAAAGAATACACAGACTGTTTGAATTGTGCGGCTCCAGTTGTGTCCAGGGGAATCAGCTTGTTGTCGGTAGGTTTGTACAGATCGTCTGGTGATAAAGCCATTTCCCAATTACAGATATCTTTATTTGTTGATTAGCTATGCGGTTTTTAGTGAAGTGCGATTTTTTCGCTTGTCAGATTTCAGAATGAATGACCTAATGGAGCAGCGACTTGCTGTGAGATTTTGTATTAAACTTGGAAAATCTGCAACTGAAACATTTGCTAAGCACAACACAGCTTACAGTGATGTTGCTATGAAATGTATGGCATGTTTCAAGTGGTTCCCAGACCTAAAAAAGCTTGCCAAGTTTGATCCAATGTCAAGGTAATGCTAACAGTTTTTTTTGATGCTAAAAGTGTTTTTCATCACGAGTACCTCTCTCAAGGCTCCACAGTGAACCAGACTTACTACATTGAAGTTCTGAAGCGTCTGAGGGATGCCATTTGTCGCAAAAGGCTAGAAATGTGAAGGAGTGGCGACTGGTTTCTCCATCACGACAATGCTCCAGCCCATTCAGTCCTCAGGACTCTTGAGTTTTTGGCCAAACACTCGGTCACTGTTCTTCTCCAACCCCCTACTCACCCGACCTTGCTCCTTGTGACTTCTTCTTGTTCCCCAATCTCAAAAGACTTTTGAAAGGAAGAAGATTTGAGACGATTCCCGAGATTAAGGCAAATGTGACAAAGGCGCTGAAAGACATTACAAAAGAAGCGTACCAGGACTGTTTCAACAAATGGTGTAAGGAACCAAGTCTGAGCTTTATTTTTATTTTACTTTTATTTTGCTTTCATTATATTTTGTTTGGGGCTTATGTTTAGTTAAGACGGTNTTAGGAGTCAATCAATTTCTGATTATTTGAATTGAATGATCTTTTTTTTCATGGCCAAACACATCATATTTAATTTCTCTTTCAGTTTTCTTAGCATCTTCATTTGCTTGCTCTTACAATCAAACCTGCCTTCTTAAGTAGTTGTCATCTGCTTTCTTCATCTCATCTTTAATTATCAACAAATCCACTTTCTTGAATTTCTTTACAATTTTTAAAACTCCTTCAGCAGATAAATTATGTTGTTTAGCAACTGCACAAAATGATTGCAATTGTTCAAAACTTTTCACAACTTTCATTCTCTGGACAAGAGATAATTCATTCTGGGGAGTCATTGTTACTTTACACAATCTCTAATGATGTTTTACATATATACTATAGTTTACATATGTGAGATTAGCAGAGGGTCACGGGTAAATTCAAATGACCACTTATCCTGCACTAGATCGCGAGATTCAATCTCCTTGTCAGTGGATGACTTCCAAAGATTTTAATATATACTAGGAGCTTGTGAGATCCCCTGGAAGTTGTTTTCCTGACACCAGTTAATCTATTTAATACGTAGATTAACATGCATAGATAAGGAATTTCGAGTGGAAGGGACGTAAGTACATGGAGTGAACATAGGTGTGGATTTCAATCATTAAAGAGACCATATTTTTAAAATAACAGAACTAAATATTTAATGAAACAAAATATAACTATGATTACAAATACAAAGCTTCCTAACATGTGAGAGAGAGAGATTACAAATGTTTGAAGGGTATACTACCTTACAGGTTCTCAAATATCTTGTCTTTGATGATGTCTCATCTTAGGGATTTCAAGCAAAGATCGTTGTCATCTTTGTAGATAAGAACATTGACGACACTTAGGTAATGAGAGTTTTTCTTATAGAGACAATGACAGACTCTTCTAGGGTTCGAGGTTTTGGCTCTGTATTTTCTACTGGAATCTTATTACATCAGGAAATTTTGGCTATGGCTCCTGACTATGGGCATTGGCTGTAGGAGACTCAACTGGCATACGTCCTCTTACATCAAGAGATTTTGGTGCACTCTGAATCTGGATGTGGTCTTGGAGACCCACATGGAATATGAGAGATTTTGGCGCACTCCCCGAACAATGGGAAAGAATCTCATTTTTCGTTGATCTCATCCACTTAGTGTGTAGAATTTTTCCACATGAACATGATGAGTGGAGAAATTCAGAGGGGTTGACTGTCAGTTTGGTGATTAAATTTTTAAAGATAAGGGAAAAAGAAAAAGGATGTTCAATTTCCGTTGGTGAGGAAGTTTGGGTTAACGGCTTCCCTTTTTCTTGTGAAAATAAAGTTTTTCTTTCAAAACTAAAATATTACTTTTGATATTCTTATTTTGGTTAAAATTGATTTAAATAAAAAGGAGAGTATTCAAATTCTGACACATGTCAATGTAGACACAATATTCTGTTGTTTTTTTGTTTTTAGTTTTTTGGAGTGTCAACAAAGTTTTTTGGTTTGTAATGTTTTTTCAATTAGAAAAATTCAAAAAAGTTAAAAAATATAAAATGGCAAATAAAAACATAAATCTGTACATGTACTCTTAGTGTAAAGTGTAAATTATATAATAAAAATTTGTTAGCATTGTAGTCTTAACAGCACATTTTTAATTCATCACACATTCAATAAACACCTACTGTCAACTTAAGTTTTTGACCAAGTGCATTAATTATCTGTTATAATTAGACTTATGGTTTAATAACAAAGTACTTCACAGATTAAATACTTTGAGAAATATTTTTTAGCAATAAAGCAGCAATACCCTAGGAAACAATTTATTAATTTTTGCCATCAATTAAGGCAAGCTATTATTATTTTTAAAAAATAATCTCCATTTTTCTTAAGAAGCAAAATTTTCTCAAGCAGGACATCTGACAATCTGTTATGCCTTGAATTTCAATTAATCCTGCAATACTGAATAATTTTTTTATTGGAGTAAAAGATGGAATTTTATGTTAGATCTTATTTTTTATAAGATCTAACATAAAATTCTATCTTTTACTCCAATATAGCTTGCTGATGAAATTTTTGTTTCATCAGCAAGCTATACATGACTTCAACATATATATATATATATATATATATACAGTGGTGATATTCAAAATATTTAACAAAGGGTTCGCTAACAGAAAATTTTTCCTTAACAATTATTTTTGCTCAAATGATGCATTAGCAACATTAGCGCAAAAACTGACCTTAAGATACCCATATAAATAAAAAAAATATATATTTCATTACATTTAAAATCTTTGGCAACAACATTGTAGTTTTGACCAGTATCAAACATTTAAGAAGTCAGAAATTATTTTAAAAAACTGAGGGTAGGTATTCTGTTTTAAGATGAATCCAATTAACTATAAACTATTCTATAATATGAGAATTAGTGAGATTGGCAAGTTTAATCATTATTCAAGTTTAAGAGGTTAATTTAGAATTGACATGTGGTGAATACCGATTTTAACTTTGAGTATTTTGTTTTTAGTAAATTTATTAAACAATGACACACTAAATGATGTTATTCTTTTATAGTTTAACTATTTCATTTTTTAATAATTACATAAAAAATTAGATGTACAGATACTATTGTTTTAAATATAGGAGGGTGATCAAGTTTCAACATTTTCAATTGAAAATAGACAAGCAGGAGTTAATAGGGTAAATATATTTGTCTAAATAGAATTATTTTAAATTATATACAGTAGAGCATCGATTATCCAACCCCCGATCAACCGTCACATCGGTTAACCGACCACGTTCTAGTCGGCAAATTCAAATGTCCGTTAGTGATGTGGCGCTACAATATTTGGCTATGTCTTGGCTACTTTAATAGTATTTTTATGTTTTAGCTGGCAACACTGGCTCAACCATGAAAGGGAGCCAGTATTTAAACGACGCTTAATTTTGTAATTTTTAACGATACAATAGCAACGATTATTATTTTAAAAAATTTTTGTTAGGCTTAACATTGATGAAAATTCAATGCGAAGTAGGTTAATACTAATTACATGGGATATACTAATATACTATACTAATAATGTATTTTTTCATATTTTTTGGTTATTCATTTTTTCAGTTATCCGACCAACCCCAGTCCCCAATTGAGTCAGATAATCGATGCTCTACTGTAATTTAATATTCATTTGTTCCAGTGTATATTTATATAATAATTCTATTAACTGCTTTTAAATTCTGTTATATCTGAAGTGGTAATTTAAGTAATTTATTTTTTAATTTTAATTTACTATAAAGTCTGTATTTTTTTTGCAGTCAAAACACAACCAATAATATATGTCTGAATTTCTAAATAATGACAAATATTATTATTCATAAATATTATAATAATAGATTTATAATAGATCAGTGATTTTTGGATTTTGCTTATAGTATAAGTAAGTATAATCTTCAAAATTTGTCAAAGCCAATAAATAATTTAAAACAGTACATCACAAAATCAATGATACACTTTTTAATAAATTTTATTTTATTGATAAATGGTCAATAAAATAAAATTAATAAAGTACTTAAACATTTTCTAACATGACAGCTTGTTTGGTAAGAGGAATCTGCAAGAAAAAGATGTATTGTTTTAACGTTGTAAATGTTATTGTGAAATTTAAGAATTTAATAATTTTTAGCTGTTTACTGTCATTATAGTAAGGAAAAGTGAATGAATTTTATTATGGATATTGTTGTAATGAGTAAGCTTAATCAACAGCAAAAAATTATTTTTCAAAGTCTTAAATTTCAAGGTAAAGGTTGCATTTTTGAACCAACAGGTTTTTTTTTTTACTTGGAGATAATGTTTATTTATAAATCATAGATATATAGAGAGAGAGATCTATTTTCATATACTGTTACCCATTTAATAGTCTGTTTCTTTAAGAAAGAAAGTAACAGGAAAGGTGAAAATATTAATAAAATAAAAGTTACAGAAAAATATTAAACAATTAATTTTTATTTTAAATATATAAAATAAAAGTAAAATTATACATTAAAAAAGTTTACAGTAATTTGATACTCATATAAAAAACACTTAAATGAGCAGTGTTGCTTTATTTCATTTTATTATTATTTTTATTTTCCTGCCCAATTCATTCATTTTTGTTTGTTATGGTAGACTTTCACAGTCTATCAGACATAAAGAAATGTAGTGTTGTTTGAATATTATCATTTTTTGAACTTTGGATATGCGAAGGTATTTTTATAGAATATAGACTGTACTTAACAGTCATTTACTATAATTCAGAAAGGTTTTTATTTTTTCTTCTGACATGGAAACATAAACATATGTTATTGACTTGACTTCTATTCCATAACTCAAAGTTAGGTTTCAAAATAGACAACCAAATTTATTGCAAGATGTAAAGGTTTATCATTTTATAATGTTTTTTAGAAGGAAATATAATTATTACTTTTGCAAAATGTAAGAGAAGTGTAATAAATGTAATGAAAGAAGGAAATGTTTTGGAATTTTAACAATATCTCTACTTAAAAAGAAGAATGCATCTATTACATGTTTTGGAATATTTTTTGATGCTTATAAAAAATATTTTATATAAATTAAAACAATATAGTATTTTTGTACAAAATTTTCTGATTATAAAGTAAAAATAACGATAGCATAATCTGTTATATATTATTACGTAGTAATTTAATCTAGCAATTTTAATATTTCTTTTCTGTATTTTAATTCTATTTTTAGCCTCCACGATATAATTCTCGAGTGAAACAATATCCTCTTGCCTTGATTCTTTCACCAACAAGAGAATTAGCATCCCAGATTTATGAAGAAGCTTGCAAATTTTCATATCGTTCTCGTGTTCGACCTTGTGTTGTTTATGGTGGTGCTGATCCAGTTCAGCAGATGAAAGATTTAGATCGTGGATGTCATCTCTTAGTAGCCACTCCTGGAAGGCTTGTTGATATGATGGAAAGAGGAAAAGTCAGTTTAGAGTTAGTGAAGTAAGTAAAATTTTTTATAAATATATTAACTATTTTATTTTAATGAATTTAATATATAAAATTAATTTGTGAATATTAGGTACCTTGTCTTAGATGAAGCTGACAGAATGCTTGATATGGGTTTTGAACCTCAAATTCGTCGGATTGTTCTAGAAGATAATATGCCACTTGTTGGAAATAGACAAACTCTTATGTTTTCTGCAACATTTCCGAAAAAAGTACAAGTGAGTATGATAACTAAAAACAAATAACTTATTATTAGTTAATAAAACTTTTACATATTTTGATAACTGATATATATTTTTTCTGGCTCATTTGTCATGTAAAATTTTAAATTTACTGAAACAAAGTTCATTTTCATTGGAAAATGTCATTAAATTTTGTAATAGTTTCAAGGAAACTCATATTTTGTGTGAAGTCCAGGAAATCCATTAATTAATTTTTCAGAAATTTACATACATTAAATTGATAGTTTGGAATAAAGGAATTTTTAAAGCTAAAAATGTTTTAAAATTATTTTGCATTTTTCAAATTGGTTTATACAGTATATTGTGCAATCATAATATTGCTGTTTTATGTAAGTGGGAAATATGAAAACAAAAGCTTCAATTAATTCAATAGCCATATATAAAATTTTTGTTAAATTAGATTTTTTTGGAAACACTGCAATTTAAAGCATGTTAAAATAAGTAGTTGATTCAATTTGGAACATAACAAAATGTCATGTATATTGGTAGTTCTCAGATAATGCCAAATCATTTTTCTTGCTTATTGTACTTACCTAAACTTTTCAAATACGGGTTTGGTACCAAAATCCGGACAAATTACGCATTTTTTCAAACATATTTTCTTATTGCAAAAATGAAAAGGTTTAAAAAGTTTTTTAACCACATTGCTTGTAAGGTCATAAAGAATACATTTACTCAATATATCCACCCTCCTGCTCAAATGACCACCTCCATTCTTGTCTGAAGCATGCGCTTGCGTGCTTTAATGTGTCACGGTCCATATTGGCAAATGCTACATCAGTAGCGGCTCTCAATGATGTGACATTTGCATGTCTGGACTTGTTCGTGACCCTTTCAACTATGCTCTAAACCAGTGGTTCTTAACCTGTGGTCCGTGGACCACTGGTGGTCCCTGAAAGCAGCCTAAGTGGTCCGTGAAGTCATCCTAAAATTATTAAATAAATGACGATGATTCAAGCATTGGCTGCTAAAACTTTCTTGGAATACTTTGCTATTACGATGAAAACAGCTATAAAAGTAGTGAACTTCATTAAAAGGAGTGCACTTAATACTCGTCTCTTCAAAAAATTATGCAGTGATATGAACTCTGAACATGAAACGCTACTTTTTCACACCGAAGTGCGATGGCTTTCCAAAGGAAATATGCTGTCGGGATTGTACGAACTGAGAGAAGAAGTAAAATTATTCTTTACTAATAACGAAAACAAAGAGTTGCTGTCTGAGTTCTGTCAGTTCAAATTTCAAATACATTTTGCTTATTTAATGGATTTTTTTGCACAACTAAATTGAACCTTCAACTTCAAGTGTCAGGAAATATGAAATTGGAAGGCACTAGCAATATAATTGCATTTGAAGATAAAATCAGTGCATTTATCGCTAAAATCGACCCATGGATCAGCAAAGTCAAAAGAGAGAATTTTTCTGCATTTGATACATTAAACCCAATTATTGACAGACAGTGCGCTGAGATTAAAGGACAAATACAAAAGAATATTACATTCCATTTGCAAAACTTGAAAAATGAATTCAATCGCTATTTTCCTGACTGCAAAGACAAAGGTATTCGGAAACTGATCCACAATCCTTTCATAATCAACATTTCTGAGGTGCCGGATGAAATACAAGAAGAGTTAATTCAAATGCAACACGATAGTAACTGCAAGGATACATTCGAGACAGGAATTAATCTTGAAGATTTTTGGAGCCAAAAAGCTATTGCTTTCCCTAAAATTCGAGAAATTGCTTTACAGTACCCCCTAACTTTATTTTCAACCCCATATTTATGCGATAAGGATTCTCAGTGCTTTTGATAATTAAAAATAAACATCGATATCAGTTGGATGCCAGTGCCGACATGCATTTGGGTTTGAGTAGTACTGAACCAAGAATTCAGCAGTTGGTAAACAGTATGCAGTCACAAAAATCACACTAAAATAATAAAATTAATGTAACATTTTTGCAAATAATAATACTCTGGGTTCTGAATAATTTTATATATGTTTAATTTATAGAACAACCTTATAAGAATCTATATTACTGCCAAATAGTTCGCTGTCCACGGCAAGACAAAAATTTTGATAAATGGTCCCTCATCACTAAAAGGTTAAGAACCACTGCTCTAAACATAGAAGTCCAAAAGATTTAAATCTGGGCTGTTGGGAGGCCAGATTTCTTTCGACCAAAACATGTCAACCTTGTCCGACAACCAATTTTGCACCAAATGACTTGTGTGGGTGGGCGCACCATCCTGCTGGAAAACATACAGCTTTTCAGACGACACAGTTTCCAACTATGGCTTCACTACATTTGACAGAACATTCAAATAAACTTCCTTTGTGACATTTTCCTCTTTGTTAAAGAAATATAGTGGCATGACATCACCCTCACTGGACACAATACTTAGCACGTGAACATTCACTGGAAATTCTGTTCTTGCGATATTGGGGACATCTTCTGGATTGTGGGTGAGCAAGTGGTCATTCCTTTGATTTTCGCATCAACTGTAAAAATTTTCTCATCAGAAAAAAAACTGAGTCGTTCAGCAGCATTTTCTTAACCCCTTAAGGACATTGACATTTTCGATATTATATAATTATTAATTTAATTAAACGTAAAAAAATACTTAAAACTGAAAAAAACGAATATTTTGAAGAAAAAGCTTCAAATTTTATTTTCCTTTGTCTTGTGTCTTTCTGTGAAATATAACACCAATGAGTCATTGTTTACACAGCTGGGTGACCTTGAACACAGCTGGAGTTGGATTTCCTGTGACATTCTCATACACGTCTCCGGAGGACAAGGGTTTAAAGTAGGGTGACTATAAATTAAACGTATATTTTTAAAAAATTAAAAATTTTATTGTGATTTCCGACCCCCTAATTAATTAAATTTATATAAAATAAAATATATTAATTTTAAAAATTTAAAAACTATTGGAGGTCGTTTTTGACATCAGAAAGTAGCTTTAAATAACTTTACCGAAGTAAAATCCGTGCACTACAACTTTAGAATGATGAATGAAATTTGGTATCAAACCCATTAAAAAACGATTAAAAATCAATAAAGCGTGAATTGAGCATCATTAAAGGTTTTTTAAAATTGCGATAAAATTTTTTCGCGCAGGCAAAAACTTTTGAAAAAATTTGGTTAAGGAACACAAAAGCAAGTTACAGCGTTTAACACACTTTGTCCTGGTGGCTTCGGAAAGCATTTGTCTCACTTTAATTGTATAAGACTTGTAGCAGAGGTCCTTCTTGACAATTCTACGCATAGTTTTCTCACTCACATTAACAACTTATGACAATTTTCAGATTGACTGATCTGGATCCTCAAAAATCAGCTCCTGAGCCTGTTGAATGATTTTTGGTGTCCTGACAACGTACTCCTTCAAGTGAGGTTTCTTTGCTGGTATTGTAAAATGTTCATTGAACTTTTCCAACTGATTGTACTTTGCAATGACATCATACACAGTCGATCTTGGGTATCTGAAGAACCTAATGATTTCTGTGCCCGAGCGCCCAGCGCGAACACTTTCGATAATTGTGGCTCTTCGGTTATATTTTGCACTTGGTTTCAACATGGCGACTGTTTCAAGGTTATGATGGTTTAATTAATACATGTGTCAAGCTATTTGAATGACAAACATGACATCTACCGGTGGTATAGAATGGCAGGAATTTGAAATTGAATTTTGTCTGGATTTTGGCACCACACCGTGTATATTAATATGTTGAAATTATTAGAGATGTTAAGAGATCAAATTCTATCAGTTTGATCCAATATTGATTCAGTTCTTGCTTATATCCATACTCAGCAGGTGTTGTAATAAATGAAAGCCTAAAAACTGATTGGTTTATAAAATATTGACTTCATTCACTAACAGTTTAAATTCAAATATAAAGAATTAAACATTTATAAATCAATTTAGTGGCATTTTTGGTAAGCAGATATGTGAAATATTTGATAAACTACTGTTGATTTTTATTGCTAAATACAAAGAAATAACCAAAAGAAAATTTAAAGAAGCAACTAGATTTGCATAAACATTCTATCAATGAGACTTAGAAATAGCTTTAATAGGAGCAGTATCAGGTAATAACAATAAAATTTGATTTGATTCAATTAATTAAGAATTGAAAGAATTGAAGAAACATTATCAGCATTTTTTGATGTTTTTGATTAACAACAAAATATATTCATATGTTTTAATCATTGTAAAAATAGAGTTTGTTTAATTGAAATCAGTCAGAAAAATTTGAAATAAATCAGTTAAAATTGATACTTTTGTTATTACAGGAACTTGCAAGAAATTTTCTTGACAATTACATATTTCTTGCGGTTGGCCGTGTTGGCAGCACATCTGAAAATATAACACAAAAAATTGTTTGGGTAGAAGAACATGATAAACGTTCCTTTTTATTAGATTTGCTCAATGCTGCAGGATTAAAAAGTGGCACACCAAGTAAGAAGGATTTAATTATAGAATGAAATTATTAAATTTATGCCCTAAGTATTATTTGAAATTTATTTTGTGCATTATTTGTTTACCAGTTTATACTTTGAACTTTCTAGCAAGAGATTCACTTACTCTTACCTTTGTGGAAACAAAGAAAGGTGCTGATGCTCTTGAACACTTCTTACAAAAGGAAGGTTATCCTGTCACCAGTATTCATGGTGATAGATCACAGAGAGAGAGAGAAGAAGCCCTGTGGTCATTTCGTTCGGGTCGTACACCCATTTTAGTTGCAACAGCTGTAAGTTCATAAAAATAATAATAAATTAATTCATATATTTTATTTAGTGATGTAAATTAAAATAAAATTTTTATTTAAAACATATTTTTATTTAATATTTATACATCAGATTAGAAAATTATTTATTTTAGTTCATTGATATATTTTCAAATAAATTTGAACAATTCCATTAGTTAAATTATATTCAGTTGTTATGAATTTACAGTAGAGCGTTGATTATCTGAAACATCAATTATCCGAAAGAATTCCAGTCGTCAAATTTAAATTTTCGCCAGTGCTGTGGTACTGCAATCTTTGGCTATGTCTTGGGCTACTCAAATATTTTACGTTTTTGATACTAAATTAACTTCTGAAGTATAATTTTTTTATTGTTTTTATATTTTTCAATATATTTATTTTGTTTGTACAAAATAAAAAAATAATTTTTAAAGATACAATAGTCTTTGTTAGGCTTAACATCAACGAAAATTCAACGCGAAGCGACACGCAATGGAGAAAAATTTCAACATGGGATAGGTTAATATATTTTTTCGCACATAATTGGTTATCCGAAATATTGATTTTCCGAACAACTGCAGTCCCCAATTGATTTGGATAACTGACGCTCTACTGTATGTTCGATACTGTACGCTCTACTGTATGCTCAATAAAATGTTTTTCTTACCAAAGCTTTAAATTAATTATGTAGTGAAGTGAAAAACCAAATTTTTAATGTTGCTTAACAAAAGCTGTAATTGCAAGCATGCATTCAAATATATTTTTTTTGTTTGTGTTAGTATTTCCTTGACACATGATAAGTAGATACATGCATTTGGTTGGATTAGAACACTACAAAATATTGAAGTACTGCAGTATATACAATAAATGTAAGCTGTTGGAATTCTGAAATAATGCATCACAAGCAGCAAGTAAAAATTAAATTCTGCATCAGACTTGATAAAAATTTTACCAAAACATTTTATTTTCTTAAAGAAGAATATAGTAATGATGTCATTTCTCTTACAAATGGTATAAGTGTTTTAAAGGAAACCACAAATTAAAAGAGGATTATTTCTACTCAGTTAAGCCTGTTTTATCAAGAAAGTAAGAAATAATTACTTAAATTTATGAAAAAGATTAAAAGTGGCTGTAGACAGTCAATAAATGATTTAGTCAACATTTTGGAAAATTTGTATAGTTCTGTAAGTGCTATTCTTCATAATAACTTGATCATTTATTACATCTGTTATCTCACTGTTTTGAGAAAATTAACAAATAGACTACTAGTTTGTCAATATTAACTTCATCTGCATAAATTACTAGTATCAACTATCAAATCAATCAGTGTATTCATAGTAATGACATGGATGCTCAGACGCTGGAAACTTTTAATTTACAATCAGCTAAGGGACTTCTAAAAATTGTTTTATACATGACTGAGTTGCACAGTTAAGCTCAAATCAGTCCAAAATGACTTGCACTTGTTTATGAAAATGACATGTGCTCTTCTGATGTCACAATAGGATGCTCTGGAAAAGCAAAAAATGAAAAGACCAAATAGTGTATGCATGACATAGACAAATTGGAAGATTTCATCAATTATATGAATTTTATTCTATCAAAAGAGATACATAAATTTAAATTTGTTGTTAAAAATCTGTTATTTAATAAATGATGAATAAATATTCTAAACTTTATGAAGAATCTTAGAGTTACATGGATTTTTTTCTTATTTATGTATTTAATTACTTATTAATCTTATAAATTTAACTATATTAAGTTCTGTTTTCAAATTACAACGTTATTTTAAAAAGATATTAAGCTTATTTATGAATGCAGTAGACCCCCTATAACGCTTAGATACGTTCCACTTTATAAGAATTTTACGTTGTAGAAATCCTTAAATATATGATCCAATCACATCCCAACACGTGTGAAGTTTACGGACTAAGGCTGTTTGAAAGGTTTTCTTCTATAAAATTAACCGATTCTAGACTAATTCGACTCAACATTTCCAAAACACGTATAATTTTTTCTGAATAATCCGTATAAACTATGCTATAAACAAAAAATTGTAGGATTACTTACCGAGTGTGCACCGTTTAACTACGCCATTGCTTAAGCTTGTTTTCGTCGCGGAGCAGTGCACCAAACGGCAGCCGCGTTTGCTGATAAATTATTTTTTTGCGAAAAATTCATTGACCTTTGGAGACATCATTAATAGAAATAATTTTTATGACTGTTGAATAAGAAATGTTTTTTTCACAAGAAATGTATAAAATTAGTGCTGTATTAGACTTACGGTACCTAATTTACATACTGTACAGACGATAGTAAACTCAACTTACTTGCCTAAACTCTCCGTAGCGTGGCGCTGGACGGCGGGAAGTATATAGGTTATGTAATTATAATAAAGTTACAATAAATTAATATATAATTATATATACAGTACGTAATTTATATATAATTAATATATAATTATAGTACATATATGTACAGTATACAATATATGTACAGTACCTAATTTATATATAATACTATACAGACGATAGCAAACTCAATTTACCCGCCTAAACTTTCCGTGGCGTGGCGCTAGATGGTGGAAAGTAGTTCGTCTGCTCATCCACTATTGGTCCAGATTCGACCAATCTTGTCACGACACGAGTCGGCGACGATGTTTTACGAGTCTCTTTATACGAATACTGCCGCAATTTTTTTGCTACATTATAGGAATTTCCGTTATAGGGGGTCAACTCTATTTTAAAATTTGAGTGATCAGAAGTGGGATGAATGGAAGCATTGCACTCCCATCTACTCTTTTTTTTCCCGAACATGTCATTATTCTTCTATTATTGATAGCCCTCTTCTGAAATTTGCCTCTCTGCATTATTGTATAATAATAAAATATTTTATCATTCAAAGAGATATAGTATAAGATTTTGGTACATATGGACATTTATGATGTAATTTCTTATTAAGAACAACAGTTTAAATGAAATTGGCCTATCATATTGTGTAATCATTTTGAATTAAGTGTTATTTGTCAATAGAAACATAATTTTAACATTTTCAAGCTGGTTTTCTGGATGTGATGCAGCATTGTCAAGAAACAAAATCCATTTTCTATTTTGGCTCATTTTCTTTTATCTTTTTCAACACTGTTATAATTTCTTACATTACCCAGGCTTTTCTGTTTGATTTCTATTTAGTTTCAAATTTTGTAAAGTACATTCTTAAAATATCTTGGTTTGGTATTTTTCTAATTACTAGAGTTTTTGTTTTCCACTTATACACATAACAGAACTGTTTAGTCAGTGTTTACTACTTTTCCATCAGAACATGATTCGTCTTTCATCTTTGTTTTGGGAGAGCAGGAAAAAAGAGTTGTTTTGTTTTCAGTCAAAATACAAGTACTTTCTGAAGAATAACTAGTAATAACAGTAGTAATATAGCAGCACAGTGTAAAGAAGCTTAAACTTCAACTGTGCTGCTATATTATTATTCTCCACGTGATTCCTCACAAACGGCTTTGAATTTGATGATTTGTCACTTTTGAAACATTTCAAGCCATCTACATGTATTTGAGGCTGTGAAATTACATCTATTAATTTTCTCATTAATAGTATTTCTCTTGTTTGTGATATTCAGTATTTTTTACTTTTTTATTTTGATGTTGATGACTTATGTGGGGCTTTATTGACACTTGGAAATTGTCTTTTCAACACAAAAAAAGATTTTTGCCTCTGCATATTGAATGCTATATACAGCAATTTCTGCAACAATGTTTCATCAATAACAATTTGATTAGTTGTGTGTTTCATACTTCCTGCCATCTTATTTCCCATGTAATAATCTGTGTGATTTTTGGTTATGGGTGCACTTAAAAAATAGGGTTTATCAAGGATATGTTGCAAATTTGAGTCATGAAAGACAGTATCACATTTTGTGTGAAGCATCACAGAGGATCAATTACAGTTAGCTGTTAAACACACTGGTCATTGCCTTCAGATTTTACTTTCAGAAATGGAATTACATTAATTAAGCAGTATCATGTGCATAACTAATAAATGTTTTTTTGCTTGCAGTGCCAATATTCAGATGTAAGTTTTGGAACTGATTTTTGTTTGGAAATGTTATCATATCAAATTTGGTGATATTTGGACTGCTGAATATTTCTCTAGACAGCATTGAATAAGGATACTTAATTACAATAATTTGTTACTTTGTATAACTACAGCAAGGTGTTTAGTGTCCATTTCCCGTTTATACTGGATCAGATGATAAACAGGTGCCATTTTAGTGTGATACCACTAAATTATCCTTGATTTCATTATTTTTCATACTGATACGGATTACTTACTGGACTTGCTGCATCATAAGTGAGTGAAGGAATTCCCAACTACTTGATATATGGTTCATTAGTAGTACTAATTTTTCATCCTACTATTAACCATTTTGATAAGGTGATGATTAGAAAGAGATCTGTCGTCGTCGTCATCATCATGTATGAATTTTTGTTTCATAATAAAATATTTCCAAAAGTTACTAACAACATTTTTTGAATTACCGTTGTGACTTATTTATTCATCTTATGTATTTATTTATGAAATTAATGTATACACAAAAATAAATAACATTTATTTGTAGCTTAAAAATAATCTTAAAGCTTGATTTGGAAGCTTAATTTTAATGATCTTAAAATAATAAAGTTTGAAATAAAAATAATTTCAGCTTCTTGGTTTAATTCTGAATTATTATAAATGCTAAACAATATAAATTGTAAAAGACATGATATACAGGGTGATTCAAAAGTTACAGAAATTTTAAAAAATTAATAACACATTAACTATTTACAGTATGATGATGCAGTTTTCACAGAAGTGGTTAGAAAAAAGTGGGATTTTTTTAATGCGTAATAAAAAATTATTTTTAATGCCAAAATAAGTTAATTTCTTGCCATAGGGTATGTTCGTAAAGTCAAATGAGTTAAACGTGTTAGTAATGAATTGTTCGAATAGTAATAGTCTCACCCAGTGTGCATGCTCTGCGGTGATGATGTTTTGAACGAAACTCTAATGAAGTTCACAAAGAAAAGAGTTAGTTTACTTTGTTAAGAAAGTGGCGCCCAACGATATCAATGTTTCTAAATCTACTCGAGTGTTTAAATTGTGAATTAAAAGGTGAAATGATTGAAATAACTGTCCACACGAAGCAATCTAAGAAAAATATTTCAGACAAGGCTGCACTAACAACATTCATATCTTTGATTTTAGAAAAATTCATTTAGTTATAAATGAATTGTTCGAAAAGTTAACTAAATAAGAATAATGATGATGTCATTCTCGTTTAACTTGTTCAACTTTACAAATGTACCCATAGATGAGACTCTAGATTTGTAAATTTGTTAAAATAAGAATAAAAAATAAAAATGTTCTTAGTGTAAGTTCTAGTAAAAACTAGAACTTACAAATTACATAATTTGTGTAATCTTATCAAGTTCCATCTATGGTAAAAAAAAATAACTGTTTTGGTACTAAAATTTTTATTATGCATAAAAAGAACCCACTTCTTTCTAAACATTTCTGTGAAAACTGCATCGTTTTACTGTAAATAGTTGATGAGTTATTAATTTTTTAAAAATGTCTGTGACATTTGAATCACCTTGTATTTTGATTATTCTTGACACTTTCTCAAACAATTTTATATTTTAGTTGAAGTTTTACATTGTAAATTTTTACTGGTATCTTTTAACTAACGTTGATTTCAAAAACAATAAATTAATTATTGAATAATTTAAATATGGTAATAATGAAGAAAAACCAACTACCAATGTGTTCTTTATTTGCCATTTTCAATTCATTGGTATTAAACTATAATTTAATCAGGGATGCACAACCTTTTTTGAAGAAGGGCCAAATTAGGATTAAGTTAATTGACTGGGGGCCGGACCTCCAAGTGATTAATGCGATGTCTGATGCAATTTGCGAGATTCTTTGTTGTATCATCATGTGGTTAAGACTGATTGTTTGAAAACACTGTCTTTTCAGGACACATCTCACTTGCGATGATAAGACACTTTTTTATCATATCGCCATCTGTGAAAGGTTTCCCATTCTTGGCTATTAAAGCAGATATTTCTAGGCTGGCTTCAACAGCCGCATCCAATTCTCCAGATTGTTTCTTGAACACATTTTGTTGGCTGATTAGTGATCGTCGTAACGATTCGATTTTCCGTTTGCGTTCCGTACCTTGCAGAAGGAAATCCTTGTGTTGGCTTTCATGATGTCGCTTCAGGTTGAATTCTTTTGGCACTGCTATTGTTCCATTGCACAAAAGGCAAATAATGCTGTTGTTCTGTTGCACAAAACAGTACTTGTTAGTCCACACTTCCACTTCTTGAAACTGATGATTCTCGCGATTGACCTTGCGTTTAATGCCCGGCGCCATACTGTTCACTCTGCAAAACAATGTCTCATTGTGCCGAAAATTCTGAGGCCCGCAACAAATCATGTTTGAGATAAGGCAAGCTAGACTACCACGTGCTTTGTTCTGTATCCACTCTGACCAAAGACTAAAGAGGCGGGGACAGAAGACTATTACGCACACGTGGCCAGGCAGGTCTTAATTCGTTCGACCCCTGTCCGGGCGTCTCCACCATTTCTCAGAATTTGTGAGTCAGATCGTCAACATGCCAGGTGCAGGACACTAATCCATCATAAATGTGGTTACCATTCTTACCTAAATTATATTTATGGCCCGTCAGTTTTACCCCCGTGTTCAGAAATGAATCAAAAGTGATTAACACAGTGCAGTGGAAAATCTGAATATTTTAAATATAATTATTAAAATTGCGATATCTCGTTTCAAATTGGCGCTAGAATCAATCTGTTTTTTTTTTTTTTCTGTCACAAATATATCACAGTTTACGACTGTTAAATTTCAAATAAAATAAAAATTAAAAATAATAATTTAATTTTAAATTTACGAAAAAAAGAATGTAAAAATAAAAGTAAATAAAAAGTTCCAATTAATTTACTACTTAAATAACCTAAATATATCTGTTTTCTTTCAAACAAAAAAAACCGCAGCTTTCTAGCTACACGGAATCATTTTACAACCCTCTTTGTTGACAAGTTTATGGCTTGACGCGGTTTGTAATAATTATTAAATCCAAAATATTTTAATGCAAATGGCTTCCTTTTAGTCGTAATGACTCTATTCCAACTACAGTATTAATTTTCTTGGTCCAACTTAATAATAATAAATTTGATGTGAAAAATTTTTTTTCTATTCTTTGTCTATGGAGAGATATTGTTGTAAATTATTGGTTTTATAGCTTTTTGTACATTCCTTTTTGAACTCTGGTTAGTTTTTTTCTAGTTTGAATGACATTAGGTTGACGAATAAGCGTCTTTTCAGAAAAGATTGATTCAAATTCGACTATACCAATCAGAATCTAGAATGTAAACAAATGCTAAAAAATCGTTATTTTCATGGTTTTTTAGCGCTATTTTCACTTATTTTTGTTATTTAACGCTATTTAGACGAATAGGCAAGTTTTCCGAAGCATAAAATTGAAGATTTTCCGCCAAAATAGAAACTTCCCAATAACATCAGAAATGACGTTCTAACATCATTTTAAAATATTCGATATCTAAATCAGAAAGTGTTAGATAGAAATAGACTTATTTATAGAACAATCCTCCATTTCTAACCTCAGGGAAAGTCATAAAACAGTTGGGTGCTAATGACTTTGTGAAAGGGAAAAAGTTTTAAACTTAAGGCTGTTATACATGGTAAGGAAATCCTTTGAGGATTAACCGTGATTTTTTTTTCTATCTATCCATTTTTAAATAAAAATAATTCTTTATACATTGGGAGATATTTTAATAAGTTTTGTAAATTACTATGTTCGATCCAGCCAGTTATATCCAAGTTTTTTTTTGTCTGTTAAGCACATCCTTTGAGGATTTCCTTACCGTGTATACCATAGAAACTTTGAAAGAAGGGATTTGGCCTGTACCGTCCGCGGGCCGCATAAACATTGATAGGGGGCCGTATGTGGCCCGCGGGCCCCAGGTTGTGCACCCCTGATTTAATATTATTTATTAACAATTCAATAGCTTAAATATTTCTTAACTATAAACATTTATCATGTAATGTATCATTCATAGAAAGTTAATTTATCATGAAAAGTAGTTTTATGAATGAACCAGGTGTTTTCTTTTTCAGAATGACTTTAAGATTTGTATTTATTACATGTGTTTTAATAACTTACTCTTTTGTTTTTTATTTATTTGTTTGATTAGCTAGATAAACTCTTGTAACTAAGTTTTCATCCTTTTCCCAATTTTTGATTTAGTTGAAACTTTACATATACATGTGTGAGATCCGACCTCAGAATAAGCCCAAACTTGTTCATTTTCCCCCTAAATTTTCGACGTATTTGAAATAAATTTGTCGCCTCCTCGTTAAAATAACATTGTTGGGAAAAAAAAGAATCAAATATCGATAGAAACTTATAGCTTCCCTCTTTAATATAAACATTCAACCCTCGAACAATGACATTCCTCTGCTGCAAGACAAAAAGTTTATAGTTAAAGTCCGAATTCATCATTTTGTTTTGGTCCCGGGAACAACTTTAACCTCCACACCTGCAGGACCAACTCTAACTCACACAATAAGGAATCACCTGACTAATTTCCCCTGCCCGAAGCTATAAAAGCGACTTCTTTCCCCCTCCTCGAGGGGAGTCTCACATCTATGGTCTGAAAGGATTAAGTCTCCGGGAATTTTTACTTTGTGCGTTGAACTCTGTGTTTACGTTGAAATCTACTAGAGGTATGGAACAAATAATTGTAAACTCTCTCTCCGCGAGTTAGGAGCTAGCGAATTTTGTAATCTTTATTTTTTGTTAATCTAATAAATCGTTGTTTCCATTGTTAAATGGTGCCCTTTTACTCGCATATTGCCTACGCCTCGTCGACAACCCCTCTCACCACCTCCACTCGATCTGAAAAAAAGAATCCCGACCCTTCGGGACTGCATTCGAAATTTAGCCATCTTGACAAGTGAGCAGGTTTAACGACCTGTAGCCGAAAAGGGAGAGTATACGGTTCCTGACCTTCCTGGCGGTTCACACATGTATTCCCAGTGAAACTATTTTTTTCTTTAGTTTGCAAACAGTTTTAGCAAAAACTTCAAAGAGAATAATGTGTGTTACATTAAATGCCAAACTAAGAAGAATTTTGATAATTCAGTGTTCCGTATATAGAACTAAAAAGTAAAATATAAATTTTCTTCAGCTTTCACAGTATTTTTTGTATTATGTGACCAAAAATAAGTGTGAGCATTCATGTTTAGAAATATTCTTTGTTACACTTTGTCAATTTTAATGGGCTTCTCATGAGCACATTGTTTTTATTTTTGGTTGCATAATACTAAGAATTTTTTTAAAACCTGAATAAAATTTATTTTTTACATTTTAGTGCATTTATATGAATAAAACATGTTTCTTTAAAATTTTTATTTTTTTGTGTTTATTAATAATCATTTTAAATCATTTATATATTTATTATTCTTTATTTTACATTGAAATATAAGATGCTTTGTTATACTTGAATATTTTTTATTTTTATTATTATAGTATTTTTTAAAAAAATTATTTGTTAATTTAGTTAGCTTAATTTTATTTATTTAATTTTTAAGGTTGCAGCAAGAGGATTAGATATTCCAAATGTAAAGCATGTGATCAATTTTGATTTGCCCAGTGATATTGAAGAATATGTGCATCGAATTGGACGTACTGGAAGAGTAGGCAATTTGGGTAAGTAATATTCATAAACTTTCAGAAATGTTTAGAATTGATCTAATTACAGTTGATCCCCCTATAACGCTGTAGATACGTTCCACTTTATAAGAATTTCATGTTGTAGGAATCCTTAAATACATGAGCCACTCACAGCCCGGCACATGTGCAGTTTACAGACTACAGCTGTTTAAAAGGTTTTCTTCCATAAAATTAATTGATTCTAGACTAATTTGACTCGAACATTTCCAAAACACATATAATTTTTGGAAATAATCTGTATAAACTGTACTATAAACAAAAAATTGTAGGATTACTTACCGAGTGTGCACCGTTCGACAATGCCATTGCTTAAGCTTGTTTTCGTTGTGGAGCAGCACACCAAATGCCGGGTGCATTTTCTGATGTTATTTTTCTGGAAAAATTCGTTGAACTTTGGAGACATCATTAATAGGAATAATTTTTATTGCCGTTGAATAAGAAATGTTTTTTCATAAGACATGTATAAAATTACAGTACTATATTAGACTTACAGTACCTAATTTATATACTGTACAGACGATAGTAAATTCAACTAACCTGCGTAAACTCTCCGTAGTGTGTAAGTAGTTCAGCTGCTCGTCCACTATTGGTCCAGATTCGATCAATCCTGTCGCGACATGAGTTGGTGATGACGTTTTACAGCATTTTACGAGTCTCTTTTAGTGTCTTTGTATGAATACGGTTGCAATATTTTCGCCGAGATATACGAATTTACATTATATGAACCCACGTTATAGGGGGTCGACTGTATATAATTTTAATGATTTTGTTAATTTATATTATGTATTTGTAATTTATTTTGTTGATTTTTATTGTATATATATATTTTTTTTTATGATAGAAGCACAAAAATATATTTTGTATAATTACAAGAATTATTCAAATATTTTTAGTTGAATAACTAGTAGTTTGTAGTTTTAATTTCTCACCATTTGCTATTTATTAACATGATATATCAAAAACAATGATAGTTTATATCAAAACGATACTTTTCTGCTAATTATTTGTGTCAGTTAAGATGAGAACTCATTTATATTGTCCTGAAAAGAACAACTAGAGTTCACAATAAAAATTACCATATTTACTCACTTATAAGACGATCTTGCATATAGGACGAGGCATGATTTTAAAGATAAAAATAAAGAAAATTAGATTTATTAATACAATTTAATTTTATTTCGTTTAATCACAGATATAATATTAAATGCACTTAAATGCACACATTGTCCTGCAAAAATTACTGGTATTTTAAACTTTAAGGAAAAATCTTGTAAAATTGACAACATAATTTGTTCATGTAAAGTTGGACAATCGGGACCTTTTTTATCAATTCTTAACAGTCGGATCCATTCTCTGGCAATTACACTTTTGGGTTTCTCTGAATTCTGATTTCCAAATAATCATCTGTTTTCATGTGGGAATGGATTAAAACTTATATCGGGCTCCCATGTGCTTTTGGAATTTCAAATTGGAATTCAATTCAAAAGGTCTGCTTTTCCTATTGTTGTTCATCTTTACTCCTGACAATACACAAGAATGATTGAAATGACCTAGATAAAATACTTTTGTTTTTACACATTAGAGAGTGAGCATCTGGTAAAAAATGCAAATACACTGTTTACAAAAATTATTGCAAAAAACGCAAAGATTCCTTCACTCACGTGTATAGGATGACCTAGGTTTTTGAAGCAGTGAAAAATGAATAAAAACCTCATCTTGTATGTGAGTAAATACGGTATTCCTTTGATGACCATAAAATATATGAAGCCCATTTTCATTATCAAATGAATGCAGTTTATAACATAGTCACTCTTCTGGTATGTCAATTCTTTGAAATACACCCTTGGATTACCCAATTACAGCAATATGGTTAAAGTTCTTGTTTATTTACTGATAAATTGTAATTAAAGTTTGGTTAGCATCATATTACAAAAAAATGAATGAACTTTTTAGAATCTGATAACATGGAATGAAAATTCAGATTTGAAATCAGTTTTATAGAACAAATACGTTAGAATTAATATGAACAAAATGTTACATATTAAAGTAACAACATAAGAATATGTGTAAACAGTGGAGGCATACACCACAATCATTAAAAATGAGATGCAAAAATAAAAATTGGGTGTTAAAATGCACAGAAAGATATCAAAAACAGTTCTGATTACTTTTCATGTACTTTCTTTTGTGTCAATGCAAACTACTTTAGAAATACAGAAAATGGAACAAACCTTTTTAAAAATTTTTTAAATTTCAATGGGTGTGTAATTAATCTAAAATTGTGAAAGTATCAGCATTACTTCAGTCTGTCTTTACCAATACTTCTTTGTTCTTCTTTGATCCACAATAACAGTTGATAATCAAAGGCTTCTTTATTTTATTAGATGGTGTCAACTTATACTTTCCTTCCAGAAACTATTCTATGTATTGTGTCATACTTTGTCTTTAAAGGATTTAGTGACTGAAACATTGAATACCTACATAACTGAGAGGTCATGTCTCTAGATATAATAACTATGCCAGTGTTCATTTTTTTTATCCTATTCTTCACTCTATCAATGAAGTGTCTTTGAAAAGTATCCAGTATAAACATAGCTTTAAGCTCCAACAGTGTATTTGGATGATGATATTGGACTGAATTCAACCACTCCAGCACCAGTCATTACTCATCCATGATGTTGGGTACAATGAACAATCATTTCTATTGGAAGATCTTTGCACGATGTTTTCTGCTTCACTATCACATAATGTGGTAATTTTTTCCATATCTTGTAACTGCTAACCTGACAATTACTCTTAACTTTTTATTTTCTGTTGTCTTCACATGAACAGATTTAGCACCACTTTTGGTAAGATTCAAGCTCCAAATGAGGATTTTTGACCCCCCTGAATTGTAGATCCATTTGTACAAACAGAAAAGTCAAAGGATTTATACTTTGACTTTGATTTTTACATATTTACCTGTACATGTGACCCTTTGCTAGATATTCACCTCCAAAGGTCAGTTTTTAACATGTATCAGTATACTGCCTATTCTCCATACTTGGTGTTGTCAAGGCTCTCTATCACTCACCTTGACCAATGCTTCACATGTAGTCACACATTTATCACTTGCATCTCATTGCTTGGTGGGCGACCCCAACACTCCCCTAAAACTATATAACATTATGTACTCCACAAAACAGTAAAGTGGGCTTTTCAAAGCCAGCATAGTTATGGGTTAACAGTTAAATGTGATAGTCTTAGCAGAGCAGCACGATTTGCAATCTTGCACAACCCAATTTTGGGGGCTGTATCTCACAAAGGGTAGCTTGTAGAGGTATGGTCCCTTTTGACTTTTTTGTTCCTATAGGTATGCTCTACAGCTCTGATAAGGTCCCAAATCTCTCATTCAGAGCTTGAATTGAACTCCACTTCCTTCTACTGTTAAGTTTGTAGTCATATAAAAATAAATAGATTCATCAGTATTGCAGATTTGTGCTGTTATCTTAGGTGAATCACATGGTATAGTATGTAATCAGTTTGTCTGTGAAGTCATTTGGAAGCTCTGTTCAAGAGTTTTTTTCTGAATTTTAGATTTTACAGCTTCATAAACTATTGCACATCAAGCTGTCCTAAACTAATAGAAAACAAGTATAAAATAATAGATTTTGTTGCAATTTCTTTAACACGTGGTATCATATCAGTAAAAAATAACTAACCTGGTTATATTCAGTGTTCTTGTGATATTCAATGTTTTCAGGAAGATTACTAATCTACTTACTGGAAAGCTTTGTGAGCACTTTTCCCACATGTACTACACAGTCTTTTCATAGAGTTTCTTGTGTCCAGTTTTCAGACTCCTAAAAGCTTAAAATGGCATACTTCAGCTTTTAAATTTCATATTTTCTCAATCACAGATTCTTTTTTATTAATGCCCAAATTGTGTGGCTGCAACACAATTGTTTGTTGTTTCACTGTAGCTAAAAATTATTCTTTTGAAAATTTGTTGAAACTTTTTTATTATATTATTTTGTACACCATATGTTTCAATTGAAGCAGATCAATTCAAAAATTTCCATTTTCATTTGGTTAAATAAAATAGAAACTTCCTCACAACTGTTAAAATTTAGTATTCTGGCACCAAACTTTCCTGATGAGCAGGCAGCAAATGTAAGTTTTGTCAATGTTGATTGCTGGATCCCAAATACCTTTCAAATAGTCATAAAATCATAAAAAGTTTATTGCATATTATGTTAAATTTGCATTTGGTTTACATAATTTTATTATAAAACACTCATAGTTTTGATATATTTTAACAATCATATTCATATATACATTCTCTGAAAGAACATAACTTTTATACCCAATTTTTACATTGAAATGTATTTTAGGTTTGGCAACTTCTTTCTTTAATGAAAAAAATCGTAATATGGCATTGGATTTGGTTGAACTTATAACTGAAACTAAACAAGAACTTCCAGAATGGTTAGCATCTGTGGCAAAAGAATTGCAGACTGAACACCGTGCTAATAATCAGAGGCGATGTGGAAGAAGGTAAGTATTTAATTAATTGTTGTTACAACTATTTAATTATATTAAAATCATTTTATTTATTTTAAAATTCAGATATGGAGCAGGAGGCTTTGGATCTCGTGACTATCGACAATTTGGACGAGAACGTACAAATTTGAATAGAAATTTGGGACCAAACAATTATACTTCTGGATTTAATTATGGAAACAACCACTTTCTGGGTACCTACAGAGGTAACTATGGAGGTAACTATAGTCCAGTGACAGACTGGTGGGGAGGTAACTAAATTTAAATTAAAGCCACTGGTAGTAGTGTTTGCTGCATCATCTTTTACAAATTCTATAGTGGCATAAACAAAACAACAAAAAGCACTAAATTTTTTCTATATACTGCACAAAACACTGAATCTATTCAAGCATTCTTACCAATATTTTGCATCTCCAATTGTTCATTAAATATAATTGCATTTGAAATATGGATGTAAGAGATGCATTATTCATTTGTATCTAATATTTCTCAATAGAATACAAATTCAATATATAATTGTGAAAGAAAGTTTTTCTTTCTTAAAAATGGAACACTATTTTTTATGGAAACTGTTGCCAGTGGCCAGTTATTTATAAGTTTGGTAACTGTTTAATGAAATATATCATATTTATGTTTTTTTGTCCCCATTGCTGCACTTGGTGCTTATTGTAATGATATACAAATGGCATTTAATATCTTCAAAGATCAATTTAATAATGTAACAACACCCAGTTGAATTTTAACAGTTTGCCATTTTAAGAACTAAGAGGAAGGAAAAAATAAGGGTAGTAATTTCTAAAAGTTTTAGATTTAGAAAACATACACATAAAAATGAGTTTTGTCTGATAAATTGTTTCTGGATGGGTTTGATGTTATATACATAGAAACCCTTAGTAAAGAGACCAAATAATTGAATACTACTGGCAGTAGCATTTTATCTCAGCATTATCCCAGCACTGAATCTCATAAATAAATTTATTTAATAAGCCAGTAAATTATTAAATAATTGAAAATAATTTTATTCATATGCTTTGTTTTACTTAACCCAAAGGGTTTCTTTTCCTTAGTGTGTATATGTGATAGTTGACAGATTCAAAATTGTAACAGTATTTTGGGCATTGAGCCTTGTTTAATGCGGGTATATACATATACATATATATATTTATATATATATATTAACAGGTTTTTTTATTTACTAAAGTGTTGATTTTTCTTCCCTAAATGTTGTTTCATAACTATTACTAATGATATGTTCTTGATACATCAGATGTCAATTGTATATTGTCTTAATTTTGGTTCTATTATGTTTGTTTATAACAAAGAGCATATCAATTTTATTTATATGTCAAATGATCTGTCATTGGGCACATTTTCTACATAAACTAGTTTTTCTCATAGTTATGCTCATCAAAGTATTACAGAGCGATATGATGATAATATTTGAATTGTTAATTTCATTAATGTAAATTCACTAGTCCTATATAGTTCACCCAATTTACTCTCACCTGAGAGAAATTTTGCACTGCCACAATTTCTTTTCACCGTGTGTATGTGTGTATGTATGTGTGTATGATTTGTTTTGCTTTTGAAAGCAAAACTAGAAAATAATTGTAACTGAACCAACAGCCTTTGTTTATACATGAGCATGCAGCAAGGGGACCCAAATATTATATTATCATCTATATGCAAATGTAATCATGTAGGCTTCATGTAGTTTGCTTGGTAGTTTTGTGGGTTTAAAAAATGTTATTGTAGTTTTTTGCCGTCCCAAAGGGCAAGACAATGGAATCTAAAGGTAGTGAATTTGTTGATTTATACTATGCCAGAGTGATGTTAAGTAATATATTTATATTATGGGCATTATATCATCATTATTATTGCAAGAAATAAATGCTTGTAAGTTTCAATTTTTAATGAAAGTAACTGATGTTAACTAATGTTATTAGAATTTAGAATTAGAATTTTGACATCACTTTGGCATTTATTATTTGATTTGTGAGAGAAATACTTAATCACTCCATTTAAGTCCAAACAGATATTTCATGTTTATTTATTTCTATTATATAAAAATTCAAAATTTATTTACAATAAAATATACAACAAAATATTCTTTATCTTACAAAACTTATAGCAACAAATACAATAAAAATTAGTTTCCATCTTATGACTATATGAGTACGAAGATTTCATTACTTAAAAGATGGAAAATTTCGTATTTCTGTCACAGTGATTGAATAATAGAGCAGCAGAAGCAGACAGATCTTTGTGGAGTTAAAACAAAACGAAGCCTATGTAGAGATCTTTCCTCTCTTGCAAAGGTGCACTATTATTTGGATTGACTGCCACACAGCTGTAGATCAAAATGTTTCATTTTGGATTTATTAGTCTTTTATTAGTTATTGATGATTTTAACATTCCCTCTTGTAAAAAAAATTTAAAAAAGCGATAGTTTATCTTGAGTGAAGAATAAATGTTTTTCCTGCCACAGCTGCAGAGACCTTCCATGTGTTATTTTTCTTCCTTTCAAATAATTATGCGTGAAAATAATTTATTGCTAATTCAGAAAAAGTGAATGTTATGTATGTTTAAAATTCACATAAGTTGCTATTTTATTTTGACAGCTGTGAATAAGTGCAAATATGATATTTAAACAATGCAAACATGCCATCCTGCCCTGTTTCCCTCTGAAGTCCTTGATAAAGAAGTCCCTTTTTTTTATTTTGTTTGTCAATGTTGCATGTTATTGTTTCTAAAACTGAGTAGTGCCTTATTGGAGTGTTTATTTCCTTTTAAATTATTATCATCATTANACCAATCTTGTCACGACACGAGTCGGCGACGATGTTTTACGAGTCTCTTTATACGAATACTGCCGCAATTTTTTTGCTACATTATAGGAATTTCCGTTATAGGGGGTCAACTCTATTTTAAAATTTGAGTGATCAGAAGTGGGATGAATGGAAGCATTGCACTCCCATCTACTCTTTTTTTTCCCGAACATGTCATTATTCTTCTATTATTGATAGCCCTCTTCTGAAATTTGCCTCTCTGCATTATTGTATAATAATAAAATATTTTATCATTCAAAGAGATATAGTATAAGATTTTGGTACATATGGACATTTATGATGTAATTTCTTATTAAGAACAACAGTTTAAATGAAATTGGCCTATCATATTGTGTAATCATTTTGAATTAAGTGTTATTTGTCAATAGAAACATAATTTTAACATTTTCAAGCTGGTTTTCTGGATGTGATGCAGCATTGTCAAGAAACAAAATCCATTTTCTATTTTGGCTCATTTTCTTTTATCTTTTTCAACACTGTTATAATTTCTTACATTACCCAGGCTTTTCTGTTTGATTTCTATTTAGTTTCAAATTTTGTAAAGTACATTCTTAAAATATCTTGGTTTGGTATTTTTCTAATTACTAGAGTTTTTGTTTTCCACTTATACACATAACAGAACTGTTTAGTCAGTGTTTACTACTTTTCCATCAGAACATGATTCGTCTTTCATCTTTGTTTTGGGAGAGCAGGAAAAAAGAGTTGTTTTGTTTTCAGTCAAAATACAAGTACTTTCTGAAGAATAACTAGTAATAACAGTAGTAATATAGCAGCACAGTGTAAAGAAGCTTAAACTTCAACTGTGCTGCTATATTATTATTCTCCACGTGATTCCTCACAAACGGCTTTGAATTTGATGATTTGTCACTTTTGAAACATTTCAAGCCATCTACATGTATTTGAGGCTGTGAAATTACATCTATTAATTTTCTCATTAATAGTATTTCTCTTGTTTGTGATATTCAGTATTTTTTACTTTTTTATTTTGATGTTGATGACTTATGTGGGGCTTTATTGACACTTGGAAATTGTCTTTTCAACACAAAAAAAGATTTTTGCCTCTGCATATTGAATGCTATATACAGCAATTTCTGCAACAATGTTTCATCAATAACAATTTGATTAGTTGTGTGTTTCATACTTCCTGCCATCTTATTTCCCATGTAATAATCTGTGTGATTTTTGGTTATGGGTGCACTTAAAAAATAGGGTTTATCAAGGATATGTTGCAAATTTGAGTCATGAAAGACAGTATCACATTTTGTGTGAAGCATCACAGAGGATCAATTACAGTTAGCTGTTAAACACACTGGTCATTGCCTTCAGATTTTACTTTCAGAAATGGAATTACATTAATTAAGCAGTATCATGTGCATAACTAATAAATGTTTTTTTGCTTGCAGTGCCAATATTCAGATGTAAGTTTTGGAACTGATTTTTGTTTGGAAATGTTATCATATCAAATTTGGTGATATTTGGACTGCTGAATATTTCTCTAGACAGCATTGAATAAGGATACTTAATTACAATAATTTGTTACTTTGTATAACTACAGCAAGGTGTTTAGTGTCCATTTCCCGTTTATACTGGATCAGATGATAAACAGGTGCCATTTTAGTGTGATACCACTAAATTATCCTTGATTTCATTATTTTTCATACTGATACGGATTACTTACTGGACTTGCTGCATCATAAGTGAGTGAAGGAATTCCCAACTACTTGATATATGGTTCATTAGTAGTACTAATTTTTCATCCTACTATTAACCATTTTGATAAGGTGATGATTAGAAAGAGATCTGTCGTCGTCGTCATCATCATGTATGAATTTTTGTTTCATAATAAAATATTTCCAAAAGTTACTAACAACATTTTTTGAATTACCGTTGTGACTTATTTATTCATCTTATGTATTTATTTATGAAATTAATGTATACACAAAAATAAATAACATTTATTTGTAGCTTAAAAATAATCTTAAAGCTTGATTTGGAAGCTTAATTTTAATGATCTTAAAATAATAAAGTTTGAAATAAAAATAATTTCAGCTTCTTGGTTTAATTCTGAATTATTATAAATGCTAAACAATATAAATTGTAAAAGACATGATATACAGGGTGATTCAAAAGTTACAGAAATTTTAAAAAATTAATAACACATTAACTATTTACAGTATGATGATGCAGTTTTCACAGAAGTGGTTAGAAAAAAGTGGGATTTTTTTAATGCGTAATAAAAAATTATTTTTAATGCCAAAATAAGTTAATTTCTTGCCATAGGGTATGTTCGTAAAGTCAAATGAGTTAAACGTGTTAGTAATGAATTGTTCGAATAGTAATAGTCTCACCCAGTGTGCATGCTCTGCGGTGATGATGTTTTGAACGAAACTCTAATGAAGTTCACAAAGAAAAGAGTTAGTTTACTTTGTTAAGAAAGTGGCGCCCAACGATATCAATGTTTCTAAATCTACTCGAGTGTTTAAATTGTGAATTAAAAGGTGAAATGATTGAAATAACTGTCCACACGAAGCAATCTAAGAAAAATATTTCAGACAAGGCTGCACTAACAACATTCATATCTTTGATTTTAGAAAAATTCATTTAGTTATAAATGAATTGTTCGAAAAGTTAACTAAATAAGAATAATGATGATGTCATTCTCGTTTAACTTGTTCAACTTTACAAATGTACCCATAGATGAGACTCTAGATTTGTAAATTTGTTAAAATAAGAATAAAAAATAAAAATGTTCTTAGTGTAAGTTCTAGTAAAAACTAGAACTTACAAATTACATAATTTGTGGCCATAGATGGTGCTGTACGAAACTGAAAACATTTGTAAATTTGTTAAAATAAGAATAAAAAATAAAAATGTTCTTAGTGTAAGTTCTAGTAAAAACTAGAACTTACAAATTACATAATTTGTGTAATCTTATCAAGTTCCATCTATGGTAAAAAAAAATAACTGTTTTGGTACTAAAATTTTTATTATGCATAAAAAGAACCCACTTCTTTCTAAACATTTCTGTGAAAACTGCATCGTTTTACTGTAAATAGTTGATGAGTTATTAATTTTTTAAAAATGTCTGTGACATTTGAATCACCTTGTATTTTGATTATTCTTGACACTTTCTCAAACAATTTTATATTTTAGTTGAAGTTTTACATTGTAAATTTTTACTGGTATCTTTTAACTAACGTTGATTTCAAAAACAATAAATTAATTATTGAATAATTTAAATATGGTAATAATGAAGAAAAACCAACTACCAATGTGTTCTTTATTTGCCATTTTCAATTCATTGGTATTAAACTATAATTTAATCAGGGATGCACAACCTTTTTTGAAGAAGGGCCAAATTAGGATTAAGTTAATTGACTGGGGGCCGGACCTCCAAGTGATTAATGCGATGTCTGATGCAATTTGCGAGATTCTTTGTTGTATCATCATGTGGTTAAGACTGATTGTTTGAAAACACTGTCTTCTCAGGACACATCTCACTTGCGATGATAAGACACTTTTTTATCATATCGCCATCTGTGAAAGGTTTCCCATTCTTGGCTATTAAAGCAGATATTTCTAGGCTGGCTTCAACAGCCG